TTCGAGTTTTACCGCCAGCGTCAGTCGCTACTGATGGTTGACCGTAGAGTGTTTCTGTCTTGTAGCGGAGAAACTGCACATTTTTTCGTACTTACGGGCATTGCTACAAACACAGGATGGCTAGAACTAGATCACAAGTTAGAACGTTCACCAGTCGAACGCTGAATGACGCGTAGCCAATGATCTTGAAATTAAAAGCAATTTGGATCGCAATGTCTAAGGTGCTATGGGAAATTGGGCAAGTTTCAACCGTCAAAAGCCGAATACAATTAAAGGGGTGGGGAAGAAAAGAACCGTCAAAATCACTGTTTAAAGAAGACACTCATAACTACAAACGTGAAAAGTTATCGACAGACGTAGACTGATCAAGCATTGGTGGTTCAGTTTCAGAATTCGGAAACGATTTGAGGTGGATATGGTTAGCGTTCTACCAGTCTGTAACGCGAAAATTCAAATTTTGCTAATTGCTGATAAAAGACCAGTCCCTTTTATGTAGACATTTATGTTCCATTCCTTGCAACTGACATTTATTTTATGTTATTTTATGAAATTTCTACCTTTAAAATGGTTCAGTATGCATATAAATAAGAGAACACACTTTGGTGTGTGTGTGTGAATGTAAATAAGTGCGGGCGTTTTGATGAATGAACGCTTGGCAGCATGATAGATGTGCATGTGGCTGCAAACCACTTACTAAGCAAATATGCTGCGCTCCCACAGCCAGCAATAAGAAATTACGGGCGAAAACAGAAATTTATCCTTTATATACAAAATTTTGGAAATCGTTCATTAAAACAAAATTGAAGTGATCTAAGCAATTCGAAGAAAAATTAGCGCAAAAATCTGTTGTCCATATTCAAAATGTCAGTCATATTTGGTATCACACCAAGAATTTAATTAAAAGTATTTTCTTACATCCGTTTGGAATACCAACTGGTGGAATACTGTTGTGAACATGAAGTACGCACATACAAGACAGTAGGATGTTAATCGAACGATTGACCTGCAGATCTTCCAGCGACTGTGCAGTGGGTCTGACATCAGATCACGTGAGTAAGGCATTTGGTACTATTGACATCAAGTGAAATGTGATCAAGGTATGGAGGGGGAATGAATGCATAAGCAAGTGGTGAACTACTGGACGAAGGTGGGCGTATGGATGATAGAACAGGTACAAATGCAAGCATCTGGGATGGGAGCAAGTTAGGGTGATGAAAACATCCGGGTTTATTGAAGATATAGTGCAGTGCGCAAGCGGTGCTTGCAATCACAAAGAAAGGTAACTGAATGAACTGGGAAGTACTATCCGAATGACAACCGAGGGTAACTTACACAGGAACTCGCTAAGTAATGCATAAGTCCGCTACATTGGTCATTGAAAGGTTTTGTGTGACTGGACAATGATCTGAACTGGTGGCAATGTTTACGGTCGTGGACAAGTCTTGGAACTTAGCGCTGATGAGCTGCAACTGGAGTTGCCAAAGCAGACAGTTCGTTAAACGCAAATATCTTGAGTTGCAATTGTGCTTGCTTCAGCCTGCGACTAGTGTTATCTAACGACTGGCCTGCTCTACAGTACTTGATAGAAAGTTTGCAATCGTGAGCACGGCATGTGTACTTTGCTGAAGACGTTGCATCCACAGTGTTTGGACAAACCGGAAGTTTATCCTAAATGTGCCAATAAGCTATCACATTATCAGCATTACAGGAAGAACAGCTTGAAGTCTTGATTGGTTCTCCGAGCTGAGCAACATATCAAGCACTTGATTTTGTACTCGTTACAAATCATTGTTCATTGTTCAGTGAGTAATGGAAACTAGTTTGTCAACAGGTATTATGCCTCTAGCAAATCCATATTTGTCGCTGGATTTTCTCGGTGCTCGGTGCTCGGTACCTGTTGACAAGTTACTTGCTAATACACACTGAAGATATCACCACAATTGGCGGCGTAATGTCTGAATTCAAACTGCTCAGCTAGGAGTATTAATCAACCGTTCGACTGCCAAAATGAGCTACTGATACTCAGATCCATTGGAAAGTTGCTTATATCACAAATGGAAATCCCCAATCAATTATTTTGTGAGACGTTTGTCGGAAGATGTGATCCCCGAAATAACAGTCGCCTCGAGGGTTTTTTCTTCTCCACTAGATAAACTATTATAGCACTCACATTGAAGATGCTTCCTGGGAGAGATTAGATATCAGCTGTTTAAATTTACTGCACATACACAACTGCACTGTCCTAAAGCTTGGATTCTAGGTGTGCGCACTAAACACGAGGATCCAGTACACAAGAAAGGTATGGTAGTTAAAATCTTCACTCTGGCATTGGCATTCCTAATTTAACAGAGTCATCGTAAAAGTAAAAGAAAATTTGTACGGTAGGTAAAAAGAAACCGAATGTCAGCGAGCGGTTGTACACAAGGCTATTGGAACGATCTCTCAAGGACCAACACTCGAGATGGTAAGGTTCTGAGTAGGGGTCACAAGTTAGAATGTACCACCACGATACTAGTCACTGGAAATAACAATATGCGGATGGAAGGTGTCGAGAGAATTCCTCGAAAGGAAATAGGTCCCAAAGAGATGGTTCTATGGATAGTCGTATCACTTCAGTCGTACATTTATGCTTATCTACATTTGTTATCTTTGGCAACACCAAAATCTTCATGAAAAACTCATCAGGTAAAATAGCCCCACCCACAAACTCGTTTGAGAACTGTTCTTGGAAACTCGAAAAAGTCTGTTCCATGCGATCCCACTGTATATAATGATCAGACCATTCAGCTGGACCGTGCCTCACGTTGTCAAGGAATATACCGTAGGTAATAGTAACTACATATCACCCACGCAATAGTATGGTCTTATCTGTAAGTATATATGATTTGTGTCAAAAATGGACGCTGTATCTCACTTGATGAGAAAGATACCTATTTATTTATTTACTTTTTATTATTAGGCTTGCAGAATCGGCGTAATGAAACAGAGTATGACAGCCGGATCCAACTTATATTATGCAGATATCTAAGATGGATGGAACAAGTAAGCAAGCACAGGAAAACCGCCTAGCACACTACGCACCGGAAAGTAGCAAGTGTGGAGAGTGGCATTCAGTAAAACAAAGGAACGATTGTGGGATACGAAGTTAAACAAAGTACGACGGCGTAAAATTCGAATGAGTGCTTCCGTCACGTCTCACTACGGTCGTATGTGGTCGTGAGGCTCCCTTTGCTTCTGTCATGCGTGGGTGACACAATGGTCTTAGCTTTTTGTATCAGCTGGCGAGTTTAGGTTAATCAATTCTCGGTGTCTAGTCGTGTGTATGGGAAAGAGAACAGCGTAATGGCTGAAAACTAATGTTGGCAGTATTCCAACGAAATGGAGTCATCTAAATAGAAAATGCACTTGATTTTGTGCTAAGATGTGACAGTTTCAGCTCCTATCATCGCCGATGGTGCCGAGTGCTATGACGATGTCATACCTGTATCTTTCCCTTGCTCGCTCGAAATTCTGACTGAGCTAGAGAAAACAAGGTGACTAGCTTGTACTAGTTGGTGCATAGTTTATGAACTCTGTGTTTTGAGGGGCAACAACAGAAAACATATGTCTCTATTATTAGTCAAAAGCAATGAATTATAAGACAGTTAAGCGTCTGTAGGCTAAGCAATTTAAAATGAAAGACTGGGATCACCGCTGCTAATCTAGGGTGAAGATGGTTGTGCGATTGGTTATTGATTTCATTTCTATATTCGCATGCAGAAAATATCAACTTGAACCTCGGATGACACAACGAATAGTCTGATTGCATAGAGGTCTACTGCTGTTTGGTATCTTCTCGTTAATATTAAACTACTGAAGCGACTGTCATCGTAAGTAGTGATGTAATACTGTTCCGACTTAAGATTTGTCCACCGCGCACGGCTCTGGATATTAGTGTCCGAGTACTTGTATTTCCGTGACAGCTTTTCCTTCACCCCAATGCTCCGTAGGCAACATTCTGAGATTACTCACCTGGTTCCAGTATGCAAGCATCTACGCACATCTCATTTGTTCAGTTATGTCACCGGGATTTTGAGTACTAAGGTCCCACTCGTTTATTTGTTGGCACGACGTGCATTTGCGACCACTTCTCACACAAACTAAACAGTAGACCAACAACTTCCGGTGATCCTGACGTTTTACGAACTGGATACTCGTCAACCATGGTAGGCATGCTATGGCTAGCTTTCAGCGGTTTACCGCCAACCACGAAAACACGAGCTTACAATGATCACACATGGTTGGTGGCGTCCGGTTTCGCATTTGCCTATCACTGTGGCTACCCACAGGACGACTGTGCCTTCAGAGAGACCATGGGTGGCTTGCGCTGCACCACCCACATCTCTAACCACAAACCGCATATCCGGTGTAAACCCGAAGGAATAAGACCGGGAGCCATGCGGATGGGAGCCAGGTTTCATCAACGGAGCCAGCACACACTACTCCACAAGCAAACACATGCACGCTATGTTTGGGTGGACCGTAGTCCGCTCCAAACTGAGTGCATGGAATCACTCTTCGAGCCTAGCAAGGCCAAAAGGACCGTGCACACCGTCCCCTCCAGCAACGACCAAGCGTCTCCTAGAGCCAGTATGGACAAGGTAGTGGGTAATAAACTGGTAGGCACCTTGTCAACATGCATATAGAGAGATATCAAAATACCACTGTCACCTACCTTGGAGTTTAAGGCACAACACTGCCTCAGCTAAAGTAATTCACATTTCGGCACCACTGCCCTCCAGGTCAATTATGTGCGCCTGCTTATCTTCCGCGTTCCAACACGAGCATATGTACACATTGTAACGATAACGTATCTGCGTATACTACTAACTGTTCCAGCAGTACCCTTGAATAACCTGATACATGGGCCCGGTTCAGTGTACCTTTGGTGTGCAGTTTCGAACAATATGGGTCCATAGTCACCTTACATTCTTTATTGTTTTCCCTCTTATCTGCCGCAGCTACTTCAGAAAATGTCACAGATACCTTGGACCAGTTGCTTGAGGAGGCAATAAAGAAGCGTACCACCAAGAGCGTTCGTCTACCCCTTACCTTACTGCCAAAATTCTACGATCTTCGGCTACAAGTACACTTACACGAAGGAGATCCAGTGGACTTTTACTTCAACGGATCCGTTCTTGTGAAAGCCTTTTGTCGCCAAAGCACCCATGTATTCTTCGTACATTCCCATAGCACCTTAAATGTTAGCTTGAATCAGATTCAGGTACGTTTCTGGTACACACTTTACGGGCTACCGCGCCTCACGTAAACTATCGTTTATAGGCTGTAAGCAGATTTTCTTAACCTCTTTTCATGCATAGGATTATTTGAAATCTCATAAAGGTCCCATCTTAGTTTGACCACAGTTCCACAAACATCATGGTATTCTTAAAATCCAAACACACGAATGAATGACAAGAAGTAAATGCTATGACCTATCCTGTCACATAGTTTTCCAGGTAGCTTAATCCTAGTACATTCCTTAGTTTAGTTTAGTAATTATGATGGTAACATACTTGTGCGTAAAGAGTTATATTACCTCTACAATTTTGTTGGGCCGTCATGGATGTGTGGCCAGTTTGTCTCTTAAGACAGGTATTATAGTGGGCTGATTCGCTCACCTCCACTTTCTCCAATAGGTACAAAAACTATCAGACTCTGATACACTTGCCGAGATCGTGAAGATTAAGAATGTCTCCTACGATGACGACTTGCAGTGGTATGAGTTTCTGCTCACCGAGGAGCTCAAAGCTGGTCACTTCTATCAAATCACTTTTGGTCAGTTTTGGTCTCCTCTTAGACGAGAACTGAAAGGATGGTATTTGAGCTCCTATACGGAAGACCGGGTCGAAAAGTATGTATTTGTGGCTGGTTTATAAATATGCATAAATGACACGTTTATAACACACTACGATATTTTCAGATATCTTGCTACTAGCCAGCTCCAGCCAACGGATGCCAGGCGGGTGTTTCCTTGTTGGGACGAACCAGGATTCAAGGCACAGTTTCAGGTTAGTCACAGAAAGTATGTTGTCTGCGATGATGAATTCATTTATCGTGACAGCACCACACTAGTCTACGCTGGGGCCTGCAGTATTTCCCTAGTGTATTTAGACAACGTCGCAATATGTTTCAACCGTAGATGTTCCCTCGCATTTTACGCTCGTGCGTTTATTATATGTTATGCAATTGTTTCAGACGCGCCTTTACATGTATTTTTCTCGCAAAGATGACAGTGCTCATTGTGGAACGGTTTCTATATTTTCGTTCCTCCACAACTTCCTTATGCTTCCACAACACTGAACCCCGTGAGCTACTGCGAATACTGATGATGCGAGATGTTGCCTTCCTGTACACCCAAAGGCAGGCCATTCTTTAGTGCTTAATGCTTGTTTATAATGGCAGTACTCTGGTGACATTTTCATCCACTTATCGTTCGACTGTCAGCGTTTTCGTACCAGAAACATCAAGGTCAGTAAGCGTCCTAGAATAGACTTTGTGTCCCCCAGCCAAGTTTCGAACTCTCGGCCTTGCATACGGGAGTATGATTGCACATTCAAGTGGAACATTGTGAATTCAGATGTCTCTGAGCCAGCCGAACTTAGTAGCTATTGCTTGGAGTTACACATGCCCCCGAAACTCTATACTCCCAGTAAATATAACCTCGGTTAACTGACATCACAGTATGGAATCAGACCACTTAAATCCACAGCTGCCCCGCACAGTGGGTGCCAGTATCTGTTTGCAAGCCAATGGTGACAAGGCATTGCACGCACGTATAAGCCGCCTGCGCATTCATTTGCATCAATAGGAGATTCGTTTGGTATCAAGGACCACAGATCGTAAGTTAGTGGCCATGTTTAGACTTCTGAATGTCAACAGTAACTCAAACTTCGCTTCGAGTTGCTCGTGATAAAGAAGAGCGCGTTTCAATCTAGCTGCATTATTAGCTACTAGACGGTATAAAATCAGAGAGGAGAATCTGCACCTGCTTATAACCGGCAAAATAAGTATCCGCTATAGCCATCCATAACAAGCTAGGTAAATGACCAAACTGATAGCTCATTCGCAAATCTATGTGATTACAAGTCATGTGTTTTCACCATGTTTATCGATCATTATCTGCCCATTAATGTAAACCACTTAGAGAAGATCCGATGCCATGAACAACCCTCGGAGTCTGTATTAGATGTTTCTGACCGACTGGGAAAGATAAGAACAGTACGGGAGCCTTCCTGAATGTGACGGCTCAGCAAATAGGAGAGAATGAGTGGAATTTAGCGGTTAGCAAGACAAACTGCATACTTGTCTTTTGACCTGGATACTGATCACCATAGTAAGATGCCACATATGGTATGGCAGCTCGTGCTTAAGCTCCAAGACTGGGAATGGGAGGAAAATGGGATCGAAAACATGGCGGACAGATTCGCCCTGACCTACAGCAGATTTCGAATTTTCAAAGTGCTACTTTGTGTCCCGTTGGAGCGTCTCGGCTCCCTGGTTGGGGTCCGAAAGACGATGAACACGTTTGGTTGGACACACTTGCTGATATGGCTAGGAGCCGACCTCAGTGGCGTTCGTGCTGTGGGTTTCTTTGTCCCACCCCATCCCTCTTAGCCTCCCCCTCCAACCACGATCTCATTATTTAGCCTTATATAATTTCGCATATTAATTTTTTTTGGGTGCAAAGCAGCCGGCTGGTAGCCTACCGGAACGATGCCCATCCGTTACCGGTAGCTCAGCCAGCTTGCACCAGTTGCATTTTTTTCTCTCCTTTTTTTCTCTGTATTGCGGCCCAGTAGCTGGGGTGTTCCCCACCTCTAGCTAACGTGTATGATGATGATGATGATGACTTTGTGTCCCTCATCTTATGTTTTCCAATCCGCTTAAAAATAGATAGGTGGGTGTTCAACAACCGGTGGTACGTAGTCACACCGGCAGTCATGTGTACTACATATTTCAATTCCGCTGACTGTTTGTGTCAACTTCAACTTGAGTGTTTATTGTTGAACTGAGGCACATGGAAAAATACTGAATCAGGCTGGCAATTTGGGTCCTCGGTTTGTCTGTTTATGCACCAACGTTGTGCGTCATCCATCCTTCCACTTGGCCAGCCGCACTGATGGAGGCTTAGCTGATTCTCGTTTTTTTAACCACGTATCTGCACTTGTCAGCTGCTTAACTCCCGCTGTGAATGCGCACTTCTCCGATCGGTGGTCTGTCACAAGAATTTTACCAAACCCACTGCAGTGTCACGAGAGTTTTGTACTTGGTTGTAATTAGTTCTTGACTTACCAGCTATGTGCTGCGAACTTTCCTGCTTTCCTGTTGCGAACGCGCAGGAATCAGTGACGTGATTCCGCGCAGTGCCTGATCTCTCTATGTTGGAGCAACACAGATATATAGTAACTAGCTGTCTATTCTCAATATTCAGCATTCACTAACTGCATGGTTCCCCAATAGGAAGCCATTAGGCAGTCATTAAAGCACATTTACCTTTCTATCCTGGAGAAACGGGATATGGGATCACGCATCCGATAAACAGGACACTCATTCAGACGGGTTTCGTTGTTGCTGCCCCCAACACTGACCCCCGAAACTCCCTGACTTCGAATACGGTCCTCGTGGTTCGGAATGACGCAGATCCACTTTGAAGTAATCCAAAGTCTTAATATAGGTTGATGTTGCAATCCAACCACAGGGAGGGTGCCACAAACCCAACTTTGGGAACACTCATTTCTCCTTAGGTATGTGAGCGTATATGTATGATAATTATGGTAATTAATTGGAATATTTCACTTGGAGATATGGATGAGTGTGTTGGAAGTTGCACTGTTATTATTACTGAGCCAGTGCTAATAGGTGTGTTTCTCATCGAGTGAGAAACTATGTCCATATTTGACATAGCTCATATTTTACAGAATATATCATGCTCATGCATGAGTGTTAAATAGTTGTGTGATTATCATGGTCTTTGCTGTTTCAAGGGTATTTGCTAACAGGTGTGATTAAACGCTATGTACACTAGTTGAAGTAGAGAATAATAACAGCACTAGGGGTGAATCACACTGCGTGAAATTTTTTGTTTCATCCATCAGATGTTGTCTGGGCGCTCTTGGAACAAATCATCAAGTGATCTCTCCCAAGAGTACAGTGTCATAATCGTATGCAAGTCTAAGTAATTGGCGAGCTTAACGCGAAAGGCCGCTGCGCTCTCACACGATCTGATTGTGACTGGAAGTTTTGTTCCACAGGACAGCACATCTGATAAGGAAAATGTTGGACCGCAGATTTATCCTGCACCTGGGTACACTCAGGGTAAACTCCTTAGTGCGTCGCTCCCTTGTCGAAGTATGCTGCAGCTCTAGGGAAACCAAATACTAAGCAAGGTATCTAGTTCGCAAACAACCATTTCGGCACCAATCAGTTCTTAAATCTAATGTGCACTGCATTATTTTGCGTTCAATCCAACACTGGGAGGCAGTGTCGAGTATAATGTGTGAATGACTTCATGGAAATTGTGCAGATAGCTCACACCACCTCGGCTGCACACATACCTGGTGGGTACGGGAGACAATTGTTTACCAGATGCATTCGTCAAAATGCTATCATCGAATGGCATTTATGCGCAGCGAAGCAGAAACTACTAAGGTGTTGGCCTCTGTACGAAGAATAATCTGCGGAGACAGTGTCGTCTATGTGGTCAGATGTAAGTGCTCCATCATAAGTTTTAACCAACCAACATTTCCCACATTTTCTTACAGTATTCTCAAAGCGGTGAACACAAATTTATGACGGCGATTTCCGAAACTCTGCGGTCGCATATCCGCAGCACACTACCTCCGGGTTTTCCGGTTTAGCCAAGCTACGCACTCCTAACGTATAACCCAAAAGAAAGCACACGCAGCGCACTTTTCTGTCCACTGCTCAGTTAATTTCAATATGGACCGAATTTACCCTTATTTTCAGTATATTATCAGGCTGCCCCACAATAAATTACTCGGTTACCGAAAGAGCAAACAAGATAAGCGTAAACGAGTTCTCGGAGAGTAATACAATGCATCTAACAGTTAACTTCGTTTGCCTAGCATACACCATGCATACTGCCGAGTACCGCAGAAGCGACTGTTAAAACAGTTGGAGAACTTTGGGATCCGGGACCCATTACTAGGCTGGCTATCGTCATACCTGATTGGTCGTCATCAGGTAGTCACTTTAGGGGATTATCGCTCTTCTCCACGCTCAGTCATAAATGGTGTCATTCAAGGAATTGTGCTCGGTCCCTCACTCCTTCTGCTCTACTTCAATGGCATCACCACATCTGTAAAACATGGTACGTCACCTTCATTTGCTGACGATATCAAAATAGTCTATAAGCTTCGGCGTGACGAGTATCACGGGGCACTGCTGCCCATTCAAGATGATTTACATTCGCTAGAGTCATGGTGCCGCACATGGGTGATGAACCATTCGGTTAAGAAATCAAGCATCATGTGTTACGGCTGCTGCATCTCCGAAGGATCTATCACCCGAAACAATGAACGCGCCCTTACACAGCTGTCCATGCGAAATCTTGGAATTAGGTACTCGTCTACCATCAATTTCTCCGAATAGTCCCAATACGAATTAACACGTGTCAGACAGTCTATGTTCAATATATTAAACAAAATACACACAACTCGTGCTAGAGTTGTTTTTCAAGCTACCCATTCGCTCCATCCTTGATTACTGCAGCATAACATACAGTAATATGATAAAGTGTGACAGAATTGCTGTGGAGCACCTGCATAGGTCATTCACAAAACATCTGCTTGGTAAAGACTCTGCAATGAGTTATCGAGAAGGTTGCAATGAACCCCCTCTCCAACCACTTTGAACTCGGCGATTGAAGTACATCTTGCTGCTGCTTTTCAACTTGTTACACAAAAAGACCTATTCCGACCTGCGTGCACTCATTTTGCAACATATCTCAACTCGAGCGCTTCGCAGCAAAGGTTTGACACTGAATATACCTAAGGCTAGAACGAACGTCCGGTCTAATTTCTTCCTGGTCAGATATAGCTATCTGTGGAATAAAGTACCAATAACACTCAGGTCATGTGACAATGTGGCAACATTTAGAAGCAGACTGACCAATTATCTTGATCTAACTACCATAATCTCTATATTCACATGGGAAAATTCCCTCGATGCGCTATTCCAAGAGGGCCCAAAAACATCTAAACACCAACGTGTTCAAAACTAATTTTTGGCCTCAACCATCCGCCAGAATCTTTATACATGAAACGCGTATCCCAATACTCCACCTTTGAACGTTACCCATGCAAGAGCATGGATACTTCTGTACAAATTGATCTGTGCCGCTATAGACACAGTTTCTCTCATCAAGAGAAATATACCTATTATTATTATGTTTATATTTATATTGAAAGTTATGTGCACGGAAACTCCTAGGCATTTTTGGACCTTAGTCGGATCAGCATTTGTCCCATTGTTCAAGTGTCTGAACACTATGATGCTATCTTGAATTGTTTAGTACATAAGTCACTGTCGGGCAACTAGTGAGTCTCATTTGTGCCTTATTGTTTAGGCAATGAAAACATTCTACTCTCTTTATTGCAGCGTGACGCTCGTGTCATACTGTCAGCCTTGTGTTTCCTGTTCACCGTCTTCCTTGTCCCGTCGGTGACTTCCAACCTATTAAGAAATGACTGAAACTGAGAAGACAAACGGCATTGTAGAACTCATATAAAAAGACAAACGAGACTACCTTTAGCTAGTACACTCAACAGCACCGAACCCTTGCGCATGGTCCGTACTTTACATTTACTGAAAACCTTGTCCTTGATATGTTATATCCATTTACTTGATTTTATGCTACGTCTCTAACCACATTCTGTCACTAACTTCTCAAATGAACCCGCATTACTCCTCACAACTACCTCAGATCACACTGATCCGGCATGAAGAGTACCATTCACTCTCTAACATGGGAATCAGAAGAACTGAGACTTTGCCAGGTGGATGGTATGCCGATGTGTTTCATCCTACGATGAATACATCCACCTACCTACTGGCATTTGTAGTGTCCCAGTTTCGCTCATTGTCTACGACGGACGGGAAAGGTCGCAACGTGAGTTCTGCAAACTGGATACTAACTGTAACCTATAGAGCACGCATGCTTCTTGTCCTACAATACAGGACTAACATTTATTCCTCGTTGTGTATCGTATTTCAGTTCACTGTGTGGGCACGTCCGCAGGCTGTCAAACACGCCAGATATGCTTTGGATATTGGTCGGAAAATAATTCGTTATTTCGAAGACTACTTTGAAGTGCCGTACCCGTTGGAGAAGACAGGTGGTTTTCTTTTATCCGATCGTCTCGATCATATCAGCACTTAATCTTTACTGGTTTGTGATGTTGTTAATGTTCATTCTTATCACCCAGACCACATGGGTCACCAGGTAATTGTCAATACTTCGAAGCGCACAACCCTTGAGAAGCTACATTGAATTTGAACTAATTCTACTAAAAATATGGAAACCAGTCGAGTAGCATTGGTAGGAACAAAACGCTGATAACAACTTTCCCCTACTCCATCAGGAGAGTCCAAATTCCAAAGACCTTACGGAGTAACCTGTGATCCCATTTTCCTATAAATAGATCTGTGACATCGTCAGTTACAAAATGGATTCTGTGCATGTATCACTGCATTCTAGCTACACCTATTCCTCATTCCAGTCATGTCAGGTATGGACTACGTAACACTGTTTCTTTTGTCCATCACAATCTTGGTAGATATGATCGCAGTACCGGATTTCTCGGCCGGGGCCATGGAGAACTGGGGTTTAATGATATATCGCGAAGCAACTATGCTCTGGGACCCAACTGTTGGAACGGCAGCCAATCAACAGAAAGTTGCCACAGTAGTCTCACATGAAATCGCACATCAGGTGAGATTTTCCGGTTGTCATAGTCTCGGCATACACCGGAAGTTCCAGCGGATATTTCTATTTCTTGGTGCGAATACGTACGTTCAATTCTTTTATCTGCAGCTGTTTCGTCAACATCATGTGAATGAGACACTAGCCCCCCTCCAACAAAGAAGTTGTAAAATATGTCAACAAGCATATGGTGCATTTTGCCTCACTGAGTTTGTTAAGCTTGGTTGGTACTTTGCCGAACCTCAAGGTTCTGGTTGTGTCCGTCACTGAATTTGCTTAACAGGAAATTCTTACACCATCTTTCTTCTTTCAGTGGTTTGGAAACTTGGTAACGCTTAATTGGTGGGATGACTTGTGGCTCAACGAGGGCTTTGCAACATTCGTAGAGACAAGTGGCGTAAACCATGTGCATCCCGATTGGGGAATGGTGAGTTCGATTTCCGTTGTGGGAGTTGGAAAGAAGGCCTTACAGAAGATTCTCTGAACTCGATTCATGCATAAAACTTGTCGGAGTTTATAGATCTTCTTAAAATATCTTTGTCGAATTTGGTAACAGTGCTCCAGGGTACGGCATGTGTTACTCAGTCGGGTCAACACATCAGGTTCGGCTTATTTATGGCAGCTAGGGGTTTGAAGCTTGTTCCAGTATCGCTGCTCGAAGTAAATCTGAAGGTTTAGATCTATCCATGGACTGTCTTAGCATAATATAGCATGAAAACGAGAGAAATGTAAAGCAGGCGACAAAATTACCCGTCATTTCTAAGCACTCCTTTGGCTCATGACAGTCAGCCTTCGCTGCGTTAGATATATATTCCGACCGATGGGGCAAACTCATAACACTAGCTGTACCCGGCTACGCTTTGTTGTGGCTCAGTGTGGGTAAATGAAGGTAAATGAAAAGAATAATCTAAACTTTCTAATAGATGTAGTTTAGAAATACTTGTTGGTATACAATGTTGTTCGTTGTACCGTTGTCTAGATGTATGAAAATGAAGGGAAAATATCTCACTGTTGTAATAGATGTAATTTCACAACTCTTCTGGGTGTACAACGTTTTGTGTTGTAGCTTTGTTGGTGCACATATGGAGATTGTCAGGTTTGCTGACTCTAGAACACGCAACATGAAATTGTCCATGTCAGAAGCAGTCGGTGCGTAGATCTAACCCGCACACTTCAAAAGACTGGCTCTAACCTTTGTTGGTTGTGATTACAAACGTCAAACGGTTAGGGAATTGTAGTCTCTTAAATTGTAATGGAGTTGCTGCGGCTAAGTGTGGTTAAATTGAAGAGGAAAAAATAAAATTTTTACATTCGTGCAGATATGGAGAGTGTCAGGTTTTCCGACTCTAGAACACACAACGTATAACTGTCCATGTGAGTAACAGTCCGTGCGTAGATCGAACTCAAACACTTGGAAAGACTTGCCATGAGCGTCGTAGATTTTGATTACAAAGGCGTTGCTGTGGCTCTGTTGGTAAATCAAGATGAAAGCAAAGAAACACCGCAACTTTGCAGTAGACGTAGTTTCACAAAACTTGTGGGTATGCAATTTGTTTGCTGTTCCGTTGTCTGGTTGAGTGAAAATGTTAGAAAAGAGAAATTTCATCTTTGTAATAGATTTAGTTTCATGACACGTGTCGGTATACAATGTTGTTTGTTGTTCCGTTGTCTGGTTAAATGAAAATGTTACATAAGAAAAATCACACCTGTGTAATAGATTTATTTTCCCAAGACTTGTGCGTAGACCACGTTTCTTTTTGTTATGTTGTCTGTGCAGATATGGAGGTTGGCAAGTTTGCTGACTCTAGAACACACCTCATATAATTGTCCATGTGAGAAGCAGTCGGTGCGTAGATTTAACCCGCACATTTCAAAAGACTGCCCCTGAGCTTTGTTGATTATGATTGCAAGCACCGAACGAATAGAGAATTGCGGTCGTAAATCAAATGGCTTATCAGTAGGAAGCATCGGAATGCGAGGAATCAACACACCATCACCTTTAAAAGTTCCGGTCAAGATGGTTTCCTGTACGACGTTGCTGAATAATTCTCTCACTGCAAGCCACATGCCGTTACAGAACTTTGGCTGGTTGATATTTCACAACGTGCTAATTGGTGTGCCCATTTGCAATTCAATACGGGCGGTGGTATCCCTGGCAGCTCGAGTGAATTCAAAATTCTGTTGGATAATTAACCGCTTCATCTGCTTCTAACACCATGTCCAGGGACTTATATGTGACTGCATCGCTTGGAATGTTAGATGGAATAAAAATGTTCATTTCATCGACGTCCTCTTTTGGCCGCAAAAATAGCTTGTTCACTCCGCTAATCATGCTTCGGATAATTAGGGTTGAATATTGGGAAAGACCTTTTTTAACCAGTTCTTCCGTTGACGTCACAAAACTGAAAAAGTTTTGAAGCAACGCAATTCGTCCTGAGATCTAACAAATGGGCGATTTTCAGTTTCCAATATCTACTAATTGAAGTGAGAAGACCACAGCTGACTGATCTTGTTAAAGCTGTGCACGCACATTTGCACTTAATTTGAACGTCTTAACGTGACGCCACAAAGAAGAGTATTTCAGGCAAGCAATTATTTCGTCACCTGGTGTAGATCGTGGAATTACAGGCAACGTTTGCCTGAAATCTCCTGCAAGCAGTCATAACGCATTCACAAATGATCTGCTGTTTCCTCGCAAACCTTGCAACGATCGATCAAGTGGCTCCAGCGAATTTTGTGCGCCACTGTGCATTCATCCCAAACAATATGTTTTCACTTTGCAATGTTTTCCCATGCTGGACGTTTTAGAAATGTTGCATGTGGGAGTTTCAAGGCACTGCTCGTTCAATGGCAATTTCAAAGCGGAATGAGCCGTTCTTCCACCGGGTAGTAATATCGCAGTCATTCCGGAGGAGGCGAGAGCTAAGACTATGTTATTGTGCCATCTAATTGCCGCAAGAATCAAACAAAGAGGAACGTTTTACCAGTTCCTCCAGGCGCATATAAGAAAAAGCTTGCTTTTACCACCTCATTGACAGTTTGCATTATTTGCTCGTAAATGCCCTTTTGCTCAAGTGTTAACCTAGGAATCTTGGAGTGTAAATAAAACGAAAGAGCGCCCGTGTTGCACTTTAGTTCACGACGCAATGCGACATCGAACAAAACAACAGCAGATCGAATCGACGATGACATTCCCAATTGATTTAGAGCTTTGTTTGCGATTTCTAAACACAAACCTGCAGTCCTTATCAACGCTTCATTGCATATTTCTGCTAACAATTCCATGTTCCTATCGACATTTCCCCTGCTTATTCGACGGGAGATATGTTTAGTTATGTGCATTTTATATTTCTCCTAGAGCGCTGTTGCAGAAGAAGGAGAGCAAACGGTCAAAATGATTACAAACAATGCGCGAATTTGAGTAGAATTGGAGGCGTTGCAGGCGCCATTAATGTATAAATCCCAGTGTCGGTCGTTTTTCAATAAATTCATACCACTTCTGTTTGGTTTCAAGCCAAATACTGCCATGTCGCTGCCCTTGTTCTCCTACTTACATATGTATTTGATGCAGTTGACGGAGTTACAGTATTCCAGCTTTATGCGCGCTTTGGACGTTTTTGATAGTAAAGACGAGTTTGGAACAACCCATCAGTTATCGACTTCGCATTCACCGTTTCGCATTGGTATAGTGATTACGTTACCTCCGTTTGTTGCTGATCGTCTGTACGTGGGGTAACCGTCATTTCCTGTAATCGTGTTGGATAACACTACTCCAGGACATCGCTTTGAACATTTTCGGTCTATCATGCATGGTGTATTTGGATTCAGTGAACCGCAGGGTTCATGTATCATATTTTTTGTCCCAACTTCATGCAAGTCCTTATCGACGTCAGCATCGGGTATTTCAGCGCATCGTCAATTTCGTTGGAAGTGATGTTTTGTAGAGCCACATTAATATATGTGCGTGTGACAGTCCTCGCTTTTGTCATTCTACTGAGTACATCCAGCAACGCACCGACTCAAACGTCTCGTGTTTGCCCCAAGAAGTTCTTCAGCGACTTCAGCTTTAGTCTGTTAACAGGTGCTGTGATGTCATGCCCATCGACCGGCGACCGTCCAGACAGTAAGAGCTATTGTATATCGTCCCAAGTTGGATTGCATGTAAACGTATTGAATAGGTCCGGAAGCTCGCACTGATGAACATACGCAATAGCATCTTGAGCGCACTCATGCAAATGACGCGGACTGCCTGTATTTGAAGAGGGCAAAATTGTGTCTCTCCCAACGGCAGCTGCATTTCCGTCATTCACAACTGCATTTCTCAAATAAACGTATTCTTCAAAGCGAGGCTTGGTCTGATTCATGCGGAGGAATAACAAAAGTTCCGTTTCGCTTTTGGCGTACATATCCACGATGTACTGGTGAAACAATTGACGACATTTCAAAATGTGATTGTCTTCATTCCCTTGAATCATTTATATGAATAAAAGTCCATTGCGCTGCATTTCTGATGTGAATCTTCGCCACTGACTGGATCTATCATTTTGACGTTGAAGTGAAATCCATCAGTACCATCGCAAAAAATGATAGGATATTGCAGAGCATCGTAACATCTATGAGTTTCCGCAACTTTGATCAGCTGCATGTTTCTCCGTTGAAGAACGATATCTCTGGGTTGGAATTGATCTCCGACTATAACGATCACAACTTCGTCTAGAGTTGAAGCATTGAATCTTCGCACATTTTCTCCAGTTGGCGTTTTGTCAGCATGCATATTAGACGTGTGTGTATCAGATGTCATCATGTCAATAGCAGTTTTGAACAAACGCACTAACTTATCTTTTTGTGAAGAAGCGCTTGCAATTAGAAAATGGTGGCCATTTTTATGACGGTGGAAATTCCGCAGTGTGCATTCAATTCATTTTCATCACCGATAAAGTGCATTTGAAGGAATTTATGTTGATCAGTTAGAACAGCAAGCAGGGATCTGACTTTATGATAAAACTGTCCCTTTACTTTGAAAGTAGGCATGAATGGATCTGTTACCATTTCTGCACCGAAAGACGTCATTTGGAAGCATGATTTGTATTTCGATGTTAGAGAGGAAATGTTTTGATTCCGCGGTATCTGCGGCACACACAGTTTTTAATGGCTCTGGCGGTTCTTCGATTTGAAGCAGCTTAATTTTTCCTGCAGCGTAACACATTCCTTCCATTCCTCATTAAATGTCAGCACATTGCAACACGGACACACTTCAGCCATGGTGCCAATGTGAACATGCTGACTCAGACCATAATACTCCGCAGGGTTGCAACCGGAATGCTAGTCCATTGAAATCGTGCGGTTGCTTTGCACGTGGTCGTGTTTGATACTGAGCTGCTCCTACTCGTTGACGACTCTCATCCACAGTCAGCCTGCCGCGTTCATTTTATTGAAAAGGCAGCAAAACTGAAGCTGCAGTACATGCTCGTTTTCATAATCTTGCCTCCTCGAGTTTGGCTGCGCGTTGCACCGCACATACCTGAGTCATTCTCTGTCTGTGTTCCTCAGTTTGATTTGCTCGGGCTCGTCGCTTGCTTCTAATGCGCGAGTATAACGGCTTGAACTGGATCTTCTGCGAGACATGACTCAGGTGAACTAAGACACATCGATGGCACTGGAAAAGAAGACACAATGCTAAGACAACCGCGTTAAAAATTGTAAAACGATAGACTACGGAAAAGCGCGAACTAAAAAATAACACTTACCGTAGAAATATTTGTATTCAAAAGTAGAGCAAAATACAGCGTAATTCCCCCGCTTGTAGAACTACAAAGTAAGAGCAAGCATTAAAAAAGGAAAAGTTAAACAATACTCACAACTTGAATGCCATATTATCTCCACAGTACAACTGTAACAGACAATCTAACAGTCGACCTTTGCGATTGTAATGTAACCGAAAATATCAGACTATCCATCTGCTCACAAGTAGTGCAGAATACTAAATAAATCGTCCTTTCTTAGAATCCTTAAAACATCAGAATGTTGTACTAAAAGTGAAATCTATACAATCAGATACGCATGTTTGACTGATGATAATCACAAGTAAGTTGGTATCGAAATTTGGAAGTAATGGGTGAAGAACTTTCGGAGATTGCCGCCAACGACACCCCTGGAGATTTACAATATTATTTATTTACTGGCTTTGTCCAATAGATTGTGCACTGCGTCTTTGTAATGATAGACAATCTGAGAGCTCCATCCAGCCATAAGCTATAAAAGTGTCAATGATAGCGATCGACCGCATGAAAATAGGTGCGTGTGTGCTATAAGATAACTGTATAGAAATCTCACTTATTTTTACGCTAGCGAAATAGCATTTATCAGAGCTCACAGGAAGGTGATAAACTGTTGCTCCCGGTCTGTCACCAGGTTATATCTGTATTAGGATGCAGAGGATTACGTGCACTATGAAGTTCATGATTATTTATTGGGATGAACAGCTATTTAAGTCCCTCCGGTTTCGATGATAAGTATCAATAACTGGGGATACTTAATGTCCTTTAGGAGAGCTTAAGTGAGCATTGTAAATGAATGAGCAGCTTGATAGGGTGTGCAGGTCATTAGGGTGTATATCATCAAGTCTTATTCGGATGCTAGCGGCTGCTCAACTTCGATAATGGAGTGGCTGAAAACGAATCCTGCGATACCAAAATAGGTTTTTACTCTGGAAATATGTTGCGCTACAACGGTCCCTGGTGTAACTGGGGATGATACAACTTAAATATACTAGACGGTATCTACATAAGTTTAGACGCTGTTGCTGAGCAGTGTGGAGGGTTGGGAGTCCATTATATCAGCTGCCACAAGAAGTCGTTAGACGCGGTTCCCTATACAGCTTCTCGTCAAAATGTGAACCAGTCAGTTTGTCTGGCAACGAATAAGCGTACAGGTCGCAAATGAGGTAAACCTCCACAAAAACAGAGTTTTTGAACTACATTTCCCCACCCGCATTTGTTGAAAAGAAGTGTGAATGTATTACCGTTCATCATCTGCCTTGTAGATCGCCACGAAGCAAGCTGAACTAACATCCCAGTCATTCCACAGAAGCATGAATGCACCTTGGATTCCCACATTACAAAAGTATCATTTCATTAGCCCGATACTTAAAGGAGGTAGCCGCCTATCTGAGCGACCACTGGTAACGCACAAGTAGATTGTAGCATTATAGAGCATGGGCAGTGCTGCCTTCATTGATTCCGACGATATGATTTAGCCCAAACAAGTACTGCACTCGAAAGCCTCCTGGCAAATATTAATTTCTTTGCCTTAGGACTGTGTTTCTATGAACATTATGGCATGCCCGCAGATGAGCTTTATTTAAAGATATATTTTTGAATGTGCGTTTCTTAACTAGAGCATCTTGCTGGTCTTGTTAACTCCCTCCGTTTTTGCTGGTAATAAACCATTGTGCCCTTTCCATTGTATCCCAATGGATACTGTTAGTATTCGTCTATCCTCCTTCAGCGCATAACTAAGCGCCTACTAGTGAATCACGGAGGTTACCGTTTCCCAAACTATTTTCTGGACATACATTCTTTTAAATATGAAGTACACTAATGTCACTTTTCTATCCAGCTTGTAAGAAAAAGCAACTTGTTTCACCAAATTACCATTGTATTATATAAGTTATTTCGATAAATGTATTCAGGACGAACAATTCCTGCTTGAAGACATTCAGAAAGTTCTCATCAGCGACGCCTCCCCAGGTTCGCGTCCTGTTATCCAATCAGTAAAATTTCCAAACGAGATCAACGATATCTTCGACGTAATCTCCTATCACAAGGTATGTTACAGTAATGTTTTTGTTTAGCCGTGCCGTGGGGCCTTTATTTCGGAAAACTGGCTTATTTAACGTGGCTATCTACCCGCTGCTCATTGTTATGAAGGTTATATTGTATTTCATGTCGTATAAACATTGAAATGCTCTAAATTCATGATGCGGTCAAGCGGTAATTGTTTCTAATCGTGTGTTTGCCTTATGCCTGCAGCACTACGAACGCTGCTTTCGGCTAGTGAAATCCTTAAGCAGTTGAGACGTGCTGACAGTTTAGGATCCTTCACAGTGGTTATCTGGTAATAGAACCGAACGAAGAGTCCAAGTGTAGGCTATTAACCAATCCAAGTTAATAAATAGTTGAAGTACTCATTCGTACAAGATGGTCAAGAAAGTACAGTAATAACTGGTGCACACGTATACAATACATTGACCGAGTTATTGACCAGAATAGTCTCCCCGAGGGGGCGCTGTACGCTCTCTCGCGTCACTCACTGGATGCCCAAGGTACGTTTTGCCTTCTTGGGATCCAACAAGTGTAATGTAATTGGTAAGTTTGGGTCACGGCAGTAACTAAGAAATTTGAAGAATAACAGGGCTTAACGCACCTCACTAAGGTGAATACTTAAAGTCGATGAGACCTAGAGATGTACGTCGGAACTGATTATTAAATGGAAGACAAGAAATAATGTTCGCAAGAAGACGTATGCCTTATTGCACTTGAGCAGAGGATCACACCATTTTAGCCCTCGACATTTCGTTGACATCTGATACAAATACTGTCCGATTATGGGCTCAAAGTTTGGTCGCATGCAGCTTATTTGTGCTGAGATAGGTTGAAGCAAAGATGGCAGGATGCGTGCACTGTCTTTACGCATACTGACGAGCAGAAATGCCATTTGGGAAGCAGCTTTGGAGTATTCCGTTTAAAAGCCTTCATTAATATATTGGAAATACGCTTTGTAGTGTTATAATAATTGACATATCACCTACTGGAACTCGACGGACAAATTTCATGATTGCTATTCATGTGATAATTTCAAGACTCGTTGGGTTTAAGTGTCGCATAAGTCTACTCTTGACATCTCAGAGATAGTTATTTGACCAAACAGACGCTGTACAAGTAGTGATTAACCAAGAAGGTGGATAGCATTTTTTAATGCATGAATTGAGCTTCCCAGCTCAAATGTTATTTTAGAACTTTTCTAACCAAGCTAAAAGAATAACGTGATCAAAAAAGTACGCCGAGTTTTTCTTTAAAATGCTCTACTGCGGTACATGAAGCGAATGGCAACCGAAATCTGTGGGACCACTAATGTTTTCGGTTTTTGTTAAACTCCTAACCACATACACATTAACACCTATACCAAGTATAAACCTATCTGGAACGAAAGTTGAAACAGCCTTCTCGCTACGTACAGTGAATTTAGACAGGAAAGCAACGGAGTACGCAAACAGCCTTCACAAAGACAAATGTTACTTAATATCATATGGTGTAGAAATAAGCGCTTTCTTCGTTATATACCTAAATGACATACCACCCCATAATCCACGTGAAACACAGTAATGACCCATATCCCACTGATTCGGATGAGATGATTAGTAATCAGCCAAAGATAATTCAAGGACTTGTATCAATCTAAATCGTTCAGCCTAATCCCATCCAGATTAATCATTGCGTGGCTTCCAGTTGTTCTGCAAGAAATGATCTACTGAGCTAACCTGGTTCCCATCCGATCAAATCGCAACTCTCGTAAGCATCCAGTGTGTTTAGCGATAATGCTTGAACACAACGCAGGTGGCCGTTGTTAGCTGAGGAATCCAAGTCCCTCTTTCAAGCACATGCTACGGTTGGTATCCTGCAGACCAGTATTTTATACGCTAAAATAAAAATGAGGTTTTGGGTTAGATGTTTGCAGAAAACGAGCGGAATAATGCATGACAGGCACAGCCCTTTCTGTCGACTTGGTACTACGGAGGCTTTATGCAACTTACTACCGATGCTGTGTCTTCACAACTTGGTGCGCAGCGCACAAACTTTAGCCACACTTGATTTGAACTCGAATGCTGTTTGCTGGCACCGGTCTTAAATGGATTAACAACGGTCTACGGATAAAGATCCGGAGAGCTGGAGTGCATGGGGTTCTGTTACCGTAGAAATACCACTGTGAACCGGTTCCCTATCGAAAGATGCATCCTGTATGGCACGAATTCTAGGCAGCCAATCATACTGAAGATAATGTGGTTCTACAGCCGCAATTACCAAGCAGAACAGAAACATTTGACATGTGCATTAGTAGGGGGACTGGCAACTTGATCCAAAATAATTACCCAAATTCAATTCAGAAAATGCGCGGTCGCTCATTCGCTAAATCCGCGATACTTCCTGGTAAAGCGTTTGGATACTTGCATTATACGGACCGATTGCCGCTGGTGCACAGGTGCAGTTACAGAACAAGTGGAAGATGAAGCACAGTGCATCAAGCTGATGCGAAGTAACAACTATGAAGTAGAGGAGAGCTACTTATAAGTAGACAGTAGTAAACTTAAACAATAACCTGCATGGCAGCCAACAATTTACAGTCCCAATCCAACTGCAGTAAACTATTGCATTAAAACCGTACAATAACGAAGGTCTACAGAAGATTTGAATGGCATGAAGAGAACAAGGATGTGCCTCCAAATGCCAGTAGTCTCCTAAGAAGGGTCTGACTGGTGAGGTCTAAATTCCCATCCATCGCAAACCCTCCGTCTGAAGCACACAGATTCGTAGCAAGATCGGTAGTTTGGTTGATTTGTGAAACCTTACAGTACACTCTTTCTTCATATTACTAGCTGTAAACTCCCAGTGGAATCCACCATTATTTCGTACGCTGCCATAGGGTAGGATTTCAGGATTGCATTGTACTAGAAGAGGTAAAACATGAGAAAGCGTTACGGCAGCATTTTTTATTCTTGATCACCACACTATGGTGTGTCCGGGATTTTCATTGACGCATCGTAAATTGCCGTACATTGCGCGCACTGAGAAAACCAATAGGAATTCTAACGGCAGTCCCGAGATCCAATCGGATCTCACACGATGCACTACGCACAAAAGCGCGTCGTTTGCGTACCCCAACTTGCACGGCGCTGCACGCGATGAGGCGCCGAGTACGGATAATTGAACGATTGACACCTTCTGGTCAGTGTTTGAGGATAGAATGTTTCGCGGAAAACTGGATGCCTGTGGGCTCTGTACTGACCGATGGTTAGCCGTAGAACTGAAACTATCGTTACGTATAGAGTCTGCGGCGGTAAAAATTGGACATTGAGTTGTCGGACGAGCGTACAGGTGGTGCAAACTCGCCACTATTTCATCACAACTATGTTCCCATTAAGATAGACAAATTAACGTACACATGAGCCATACGTGTTCAATGTACCCGTATTTGTATCAAATGTAATGCTAAAACACAGTTATGGTGGACATGCCTGTGGACTGAAAAGTAGCATCCAAAGAACCACTGTAGGAAAGAAGGCACTACTTTCAACTATACCTTTCACTTTAGAAATACTAAAGCTTTGGTAGAGGAGTATTTTCTCGCTTTTAGTATTTTGCATTCCCGTTAACAAGCCAAGTTCCATCTGCAATTTCTCTTCCCTAAATAATCTACGACGCTTAAAGATTACCCGGGTGTTTTAGTTCGGTTCAGCGAAGTTGAGAAACCATGATCCCGGCACAAACTGCGTGGATGCGGTTGCCACGACTCGCGTCGCCAGATTGGCAATAAGGAACAATTATAAGTACATGCAGTTAGACCGGATAGCGGCCACCGGTCGGTTATTTTTGGCTGTGTTGACAAAATCACTTTGTGTTGGCTTTCCGCGTTCATTGGAAGTAATTCGTGGAAATTTAGATACAATTCAGTTTCATTTCCGATTCTGAAAATTCCTACCAGATTTACTCGTGTTTGCATCACTTGCTTTCGGCGATCTTGCTATCGCCATTTTCTTCGTCAAGTGGCCGCCATCTTGTTTTCGGATTATTCACAATGCCGAAGCAGTCACCCTGTGCTACTTGCTCCAAGCTAGACGGATACCGTGCAAATTCCCTCACTTGTGTTTTGTGCCAAGGTAAAAACCACATTCCATGTGCTGGATTATCTGTTGAGCATTTTCATCGTCTTCGCGAGATCCAACACGATTTCGTCCAAACTATATGTGAAAATTGCCGAAATAAGGTACAGCCAGGAAGAGTAAAGCCTACTTGTAGACTTCATCATTTTTTTGCGAACAGCTCCGTGTGTTTGGCTCAACAACGTAGCCCGAAGAGACTTCAGGTTTCAGCTCAGTCGTCCTCCTCTACCTGTGCATACTCACTGACGCAAAGTCTAACTGTTGTGAGAAGCCTAGTTGCACCTGGCATAAATTGTTTACCTTTGTTGTGTCTAACGGACACTGATGTCCCAGCAGGTGAAAGTCTGAGTGCTGAACAAAAGTGAAAAGAACAAAGAACGAAATTACGAAGGGATGTTGGGCGTTTAACTTCTGTACGTCAACAGTTAGCCAAACCACGTGAGGCTGGTAGTATACTTCGCCCTTTAGGGTCAACCTCCTCTGACCAGAGGCGTTATAATCTCGAGCTTTTTCACGCGCCGGAGTCCAGTGATCCATCACTCCAAGTGCGCTACGAGCAAGATGTCGAGTTTTTATAGAGTCTAATTAACAGACTCCTAGACGCTGATGAGGACTCGGTAAAAGTGAGGCAGATTACCCGTCTTGGAAAGCAAGGTGATCAACGAAATCGGCCTATGAGAATCACTTTTGTGGACGAAGCCAGTCCAAAGGGGGTTCATGTCCCGCCTAAGCAGGCTGAAAGCTTTGAAGATTAATGTTCGTCCAGACCTGGACCCACTAGACCGGGAGCGAATCAAGTCTGTTATCATTGAGCTGAAAAGACGTACTGGTGAGTGGAAACAAATCTTCGTGTCGTAAATTTTCGGGTGGTTTCCAACAATCCGCGAATC